TTATCAGATGTATTTTCTTTTTTACTGTTAGAACATAATTATATTTACTATTGGATATCTCTTCTTTACATTATGTTCCTTTTAATCTTATCTTTGTTATCTGCTTGTACCCACACTTCTTTGCATTTGACATCTACTAGAGTGATAGCAACGATGATAGTGAAACATGTTTATGCACAGTGTTGGGTGCATAGTAGGTTTGACATCTCTGGGTTCACCTTGGACTGTAATAATGTGTGAAAATAGGAGCGTCACAGTTGGTATCAAAGCCAGGTTCTAATATCCTTAGGGTATCTTGTGTCGGATCGTGGAGCTGGTGTAGAGTTTCTTAGGGCTCATGTATAGAGTTCGCTATGGAATCCTAGATTGAGTAAGGCCGTGATAAGCATATTTTGAAAATTTTCAAGGAATTTTTTATTATGCTTATCTTACTTTGATTACAAAGTATTTTCAACGATACTATGTTATTATAGTTTGTGATCTCATTTACTGTGTCTAATAAGCTCTCCTCCTGAAATTATAAATGTCAGGATGAGGACGTGGTCAAGGTAGAACTTGTACTCGGGGAGCTGGGCAAGCTGAGCTAGAGCCCGAGTCACAGCAAGCTCCATAGTATCTGATTGATCTCATGGTGCTGATTATAGCCAGACTGGCAGCACTTGAGGAGCGAGTAGCGAATCAGGTTCCGCCAGTAATACCACCTCATGTGGTTCCACTACCAGCTATGCCAGTTGTGCATATTACAGAAGCATCACCAGCGGTTACACCACCACTAGCTATTGATAGAGCCGTAAAATAGGAGGCCTAACTTCATCTGGTTGAGAGGTATCAAAAATTAAGGGCTCCAGAGTTTTAGGGTTCATCGAATTTACTTGTAGACTATAAGTGGAAGGAGGATGTGGGGAACATCCTAGATTTACTTGACGTCGACGTAGTCCATAAGCAGAGGTTAGCAGCATTCAGCCTCAAGGGTGATGCCAAAGGATGGTATAGACTCCAGTTTACACCAAAGCAGTGGATGATGCTCAGTTGGGAGGATTTTGTCTATTTCGTTGATGAGCAATATATATCTTCTGCGGCAAAGGCTTGAAAGGAGGCAGAGCTATCCTGACTAGAGTAGAGAGACATTTCAGTGGCAGATTATGAGAGCAAATTTATGAGTCTACTTAGGTTCATAGGCATGTGACAGACAGAGGAGCGTCAGGCTCAAATGTTTTTGATGGGACTTCACCTAAGCCTTCTTCGCTATCTTGTGTCTCGATGTTTCCACTTAGTGCGAGAGGTAGCCGATGCTACCATTTCCTAGGAGTCTGAGACCACCACATTTCTAAAGAGAAAAGAGGGAAAATCTAAAGCGGGATAGTTTGGGGATAAGGGTAAGGGTAAGAGGCCATTTTTAGGTCCCAGAGGACACCAACAGCAGAGCAAGGGTTCTCAGTAGCAACAAGGTTCTCATAAGAAGGGATCACAACAGGATTAGAGAGCACCAAAGTAGCGTAAATTTCAAGGTGCTTGTTTTCACTTCCATAAGTTCGGTCATAGAGCTATAGAGTGTCATAGTGTACCAGCAAGAGGCCAGTAGGGCAAAGGTCATGTTAAGCACTAGAGCCGAGGCCAGGGCCATCAGCCAAGACTTGAGGCACCACCACCAGTTCTGAGGATTGAGGGTCAAGTGCATGCTATTTAGGAGTTATCTCAGGGATAGATGGTTTCGTATACTTCAGATCCCTTAGCACAGTAGTCCACCGCTACGAGTAGAGTGTATGAAGTTATGTCACGTGATCATGGTACAAACGGGGCTGTAGTGGAAGGTACGTTCCTTGTGAACTCCTTTCCAGCCCGTATTCTTTTTGATTCAGGAGCTTCACATTCATTTATCTCTTCTGCCTTCATGGATAGACTTCACCTAGTTGCACATCCCCTAGACATCCCTTTCTTAGTTTCTACTCCTCTAAGTAATGTGCCTCTGTTATAGAGTATCTGTAGGAGATGCGTTATCAGTCTAGACGAGTCTGAGTTCATAGTTGATTTGATCGTCTTGTGAAAATAGTTAGTTTGATGTGATCTTTGGTATGGATTGGTTATCTTCCTACTATGTCAGCATCGACTTTTTTGTGAAAACAGTTAGTTTGCAAGTGTTCGATGGGACTGAGTTAGTTGTAGCAACCTCATAGGGGAACCAGTTTGCAGAATCATTTTTGACGTACATTAAGGAGGTATTACAGAAGCATTCAGGTGCTGATTTGTGCGAGACTAGAGTAGTCTCAGAGTATTAGGATGTTTTTCAGGACATACCTGGATTGCCTCCGGTAAGAGAGGTTGAGTTCTGCATAGAGTTGTAGCCAGGCACCACACCGATATCCCGTGCACCCTATCATATGACACTTGTCGAGGTGAGGGAGTTACAGACTCAGTTGGAGGAGCTCAGAGCTCAAGGATTTACTTGCCAGAGCCATTCTCGTGGGGAGCACCCGTCCCTTTTCATGAAGAAGAAGGATGGTAGTCTTCACCTTTGTATTGATTATCGTGAGTTAAATAAGATCATCATCCAGAACAGGTATCCATTGCTGAGGATTGATGACTTATTCAATCATTTGCAGGGAGGATATTATTTCTCAAAGATTGATCTTCGATCTGGTTATCACCAGTTGCGCGTCTAGGAGATGGATATTCCCAAGACTGCATTTTTTGACTCGGTATGGGCCCTTTGAATTTCTTGTCATGCCATTTGGGCTAACTAATGCACCCGCAATATTCATGAATTTGATAAACTGGGTTTTTCGTCCTTATCTGGACCAGTTCGTGATTGTTTTCACTGACGACATCCTCAATCTATTCGAGATCAGAGGACGAGTATGAGCAGCATCTTCGTTTAGCATTACAGACTCTGTGAGAGCACCGGTTATATGCAAAGTTTAGCAAATACGAGTTTTGGCTTTCAGAGGTCAGATTCTTGGGTTATATTATTTCCAAGGAGGGTATTGCAATTGATCCATCAAAGATTGAAGCAGTTCTTGATTGGGAACCACCGAAGATAGTTACAAAGGTTCGTAGTTTCTTGGGACTTGCCGGTTACTATAGGAAATTTATCTAGAATTTTCCAAGATTGCTACCCCACTGACACACCTTTCGAACAAGAGTATTCAGTTTGTTTGGGGGCTAGAGTGTCAGAATGCCTTCAAGATCCTAAAGAACAAGTTGACTATCGCACCAGTGTTGATTATCCAAATCAGTGACAAGACTTTTGTTGTCTACACTGATGCGTCATTATTGGGACTAGGAGGAATTTTGATGTAGACCCAGATAGTAGTGGCTTATATCTCATGGTAGTTGAGGGCTTATGAGCAGAATTATCTCACTCACAACTTGGAATTAGCAGCAGTGGTTTTCACACTTAAAGTGTGGAGGAATTATCTTAATAGGGTTCAGTTTGAGTTATATACAAATCATCAAAGCCTGAGATATCTCTTTTCTTAGAAGGAACTCAACTAGAGGCAGAGGTGATAGGTCGAATTCATTAAAGACTACGAATTCGCGCTTCACTACCATCTGGGGAAGGTGAACGTTATAGCAGATGCTTTGAACAGGAAGTGTCACCACAAGCTTGCAGCTTTGAGGTGCTCATTATAACGAGACCTTCTTACCATCAGTCAGTTTGACTTGAGGACGTTGGTGGATGCAGTCCATTTTTAGGAGTGTTAGCAGTATAGCCATCATGGACTGATAGAGTGATCAGTGCTCAGATGGAAGACTCTTGGATTCAAACCCGAAAGGGAGAAATTTCCAAAAAGCCCAAGGCATATTGGACCATCTGATCAGATGGAGGCCTTTGGATGAGAGGCCAGTTGGTAGTGCCAGATTTTCTACAGTTGAAGAAGGATCTGTTTGATGAGGTACACCGTACCAGATATATGGTGCATCCAGGTACGACCAAGATGTACAAGGATTTGAAGAGATACTTTTGGTGGAATGGCATGCATAGGGATATTGCAGAGTATGTATCTAAATGCTTTACCTATCAGCAAGTGAAGGAAGAGCATCAGAGACCAGCTGGTACCCTACAACCCTTACCCATTCCTGAATAGAAATGGGCAGATATTTTGATGGACTTCATTGTGGGTTTGTTGAGGTCTAGCAAAGGAAATGATTCCATTTGGGTGATTGTTGATTGACTAACGAAGTCAGTGCACTTCTTATCAGTTAAGACAACCCACATTGCAGAGACTTATATGAGGATTTTCATTTAGGATATTGTGAGATTGCATGGAGTTCCAAAGATGATTGTATCAGATCATTGCTCGGTATTCACATCCTATTTTTAGAAGAGTTTCCCAAACTCTTTCGGCAGCCAGCTAGCTTATAGTAGTGTTTTCCACCCGTAGACAGATGGCCAGACAGAGAGAGTTAACCAAGTATTGGAGGACATGCTTCGAGCATGTGTGATCGACTTCTAGGGTAGTTAGGAGGATCACATACCATTTATTGAATTCACCTACAATAATAGTTAACAATCGACTATAGGTATGACTCCTTATGAAGCACTGTATGGGAGGCCCTGTAGATCTCCGATTTGTTGCGCAGAGCCGGAGGATAGCTTACTGGTTGGACCAGATCTGGTAAGTCAAACTACAGAGCAAGTAGCATTGATTCGAGATCATATTCTTGTAGCCCAAAGTCGGCAGAAGAGTTACGCAGATCGGAGGAGACGACCCGTAGAGTTCCAGGTTGGAGATTATGTCTTGTTGAAAGTCTCACCTATGGAGGGCGTCAGACGATTTGGTAGATATTCGGTCCGAAAATCATTTTCTTCATTGCGGTACTCATTACAACTTCGATCCTTACAATGATTCAAAAGGAAGGACTTTTTATAAGCCTCCTTACATAATGAAAATAAAAAGATTACAACTTTCTGAGAACACACACAGATAGATCGTTTATCGGTCTTCTGCTTACGTGAGATCTTTGCCAGTACCAGGGTTTATCCGTGGACCACCAACTGA